AGGTCCGGGGCACCCCAAACATCCTTCAGCTGCTGTGGGAGGGAAGCTCCAGCCCCCGGCATCCGGTACCTGACCAAGATCTCGGGGCGGGTGGTGCCTCTCCACGTCCTCTCCTCCGAGCAGTGGAAAGAGCCGCCACCGCTTTGTGCCATGAGGAGGGGAACGGCGCTGGGCGCCTGGGTGCTCCTGGCCAGCCTGGCCGTGGCCAAAGCTGGGGTGTCCGAGGTAAGTGCCAGGGTGTGGGTCACTGCCGCGGCTGCTGCCGTGAGGGCTTTGCCTGCCCTACACCGCTGCTGTGTGTTACTCTGTTATAGCTCAAACCTGCCTCGCAGTGATAGAGCATGAAAAGTTGGGCTTGGCAGTACCGTGGTGTTAGACCAAAGCCATGGGCTCTGTGCCTGGCACGAGTGTGGAAGCAGGAGAGGCTCTACTCTGTACTCTGCTCCCGCACTCAGCAAGTAAGACACGGGATTTACTGTCCATTTACGGACTCTGAAGGTGATGTCGCGTTTCTGAGCATTTTGATTCATGCTTTCCACTGAAAACGTTGTTTATTCTTGGGTAAAACCCCAAATGTGTATTTGCCTCCCTATGTGGGCTCAGCTTCTGTTCCTGCTGCTGGAAACACTTTTCTGTTGAAATGGTGCACTTGCACCAATGCAATCTGTGTGCGGGATGAAGGTCATGCACTTAGAGTCTGAACGGAGTCCTGGTAACTACCCGATTCCATGTAGTTTTAACTCTAAGGGGATCTGGATCTCTAAACTACTCAGAGCTGCATTAATGTAACCACCAGTTGAACACTGGACTACTTCTCCACTAGGTAGTCTGCCTTTCCCAGAGTTCCTTTTCTTTGTGCTGTCCTTTCCACTGCTGAGGAGACAGCCCAATGTGATGCTTTCTACACTAGCAATCCTCATCGGTGACATCTCCAAGTTCTGCACCACTGTGAGGGTTCGTAACTCAGCTGTGAAGTGCTCTGTTCTTTTGGTTTTTTACAGGACAGAAAGTAAACGTGAAAGAAGCCAGTGGGAAGGTGTTCCTGCAGTGTGTAGTGGACAGCAACAGTCAAGTCATATGGTACAAAGATGGAAACTGGATAGAAAACGCAACACAGCTGGACTTGGGTGCAATTTACGATGATCCCAGAGGCATTTATACATGTGAAACAAACAAAGAAAAGAAAAGCCCTCCCCTCCAGGTGCACTATCGAAGTAAGTGTTGCAGACCTGGTTTCCGCAGCCACTACTGCTTGGGGGTTTTCACCCAAGCAAATTTTTGAGGGAACTACTCATTTCCCGTACTTTGAGGGTGGTTCCACCAGTTTGCAGAAGCTCTGGCAGCTCCTGTGCTAGGTTGTTCTTGGAACAGCCCAGCTGCATGTTCTCCTGCATCTGGTGTCCCCATGAGGGCTGTACAGCCACATTCAGCGCCGTAAGCTGGCACTCAAACTGGCTCAGACTACGGCCAAGGGGCCCTGTCATGGCCCAGCTTTCAGTGTCTGTGTGTTTTTGGCTTCCAGTGTGCCAGAACTGCATTGAAGTGGACGCTCCCACCATCTCGGGGATCGTGGTCGCAGATGTCGTTGCCACCATCTTCCTGGCGGTCGCTGTGTATTGTATCACTGGCCAGGACAAGGGACGCATGTCACGAGGTGAGGGGAGAGCCCTGCTGGCTGCCCATGGGTGGGGACTTTCTGTCACTGTCCACAGAGCCCAGCCACTGCAAGCTGCAGGCAGCACGCTGTCTAGCTCAGCTTCCCAGAGAAGCCAGCGAATGCACAAGGTTAACCCAAAAACATCATCCCAGGAGCAGCCACTGGTGACACAGGAACATCTAAAGTCTTGCAAGGGGTTCCCATCAAGCTTCCTAGAGGGAGTAAAAGCACAGGGCTGAAAGCAGCTGGCTGCTTGGGTTTGTTTGCAGATGTTCACCACACTTGCCCATGACTCTCTGATCCTTGACCATCTTCTTTCTTCATTTAGCTTCTGACAGACAGAACCTGATTGCCAATGAGCAGCTCTACCAGGTAAGCTGGGCACTCGTGTGTGTGTGCATGCCTGTGGGCTTCATCCCCTGTACCACCCGTCCCAGAGCTGGACAGACACAGTTGTAGCCTGTCTCTCCTTTTTTTTCCTCCTAGCCCCTTGGCGAGCGGGATGAGCAGTACAGCCGGCTGGTGCCTGCCAAGGGCCACAAGTGAAGTGGGAAGATGCTGGGGCCTGTGTGTCCTTCACACCAGGAGCGATACTGCAGCACAGCCACCACCAGTACGCAAGAGCACCACTACCATGCCCTGGCACTGCCTTTGTAAGCTTCCTGCTGCCAGAAGACAATGTGAGTTTTCTCCTAGAGAGCCCTGCAGCTCCTTGCCGGGATGTGCTGCTTGCAGCACTCTGCTCTTCCTGTGGCCTCTTGCATTTCTGTATTCCTCCCATTAAAGACGAGCCTGTCCCATTGTCTCCCTGCTGCATCAGTTGTGTTGAGGCCCGGGGAGCCGTGCAGTCATAAGGAAAGGTGCATATTGGATGTGATCTGCCTGCAGAGCCATAGGGCTCCTGCCTGTCCCGATAGGACATTGCTTTGCCAGTGCAGGCAGGTGCTCGTGTCTGTGCCAGGCAGGAGGACAGGGGGATGTTTGCTCTGCATAGGCCAGGCTTGTCATCTAATCACAGCCTCCAGACCGCAGAGGCTTGCCAGGTCCCTCGCACCCAGCCAGCCTACGAGTTGCCTCAGTGCTTAGGGGAGTGAAGCATGAGCAAAGAAGCAAGCTGCGCTGGCTTCCCAGAAGAGACTGTGGGGGCCCAAAGAGGACATGGAAACAGCAGCGAGGACACAAACTGCAGCAGAGACCGTGCAAAACACATGGCAGAAGAGTTGGCCAGGTAGTGAAGGCCAGAGGCAGTCCATGCTCCTCACACCTCCAGTGATCTTGGTAAGATCCCCCACTCTCCTCTGCAGCCCACTGGCTTTGTGACCAGGCACTGGCATCCGATCTTTCAGGCTCACCAGCCATCCCAGTGGGCTGAGTGCAGGATGCAGTGGAGCAAACTTTCAGAGCCTTTCCCAGCTCAACCACCTTTCCAGATACTGAGCAGCACTGGGTTTCCCCCCTCCATCAACCCAGCTCCTTCTGGCAAGGTCTGCCCTCCCCAGCTCTGAGCAGAAACAGTTAATGTGGTCTGGGTATAGCCAATATGGGAGGCAGCTAACAGGATCTGCTAGCAGTTAGAAACCTCAGAAACCAGGTCACCCTCCATTTGCCCGTTGCACACATGTGTACGTGTGTTTTCCTGCTTTTCTAAGAACCTGGGTGACAGGCTTTAGAGGACACCAGGCTGTGAATTGCTTCTGACTCGGTGGCATAAAGTAAGGTAGGGCTATGACCAGCAGAGTGCCTAGTTCGTAGCAGTTGCATCGCCATCAGATCTCAAAGTAATGAGCAAAGGTGGCTTAACTACACCCAAAGAGCAGGAGGAAGCTGGAGCAGGGCGGGTGGGTATGGTCTGTACAAATCAAAGAGCCAGCACAGGTAATGTTTACAACTTGTCTATTCGAAGTAGAAGGGAAAAAGAAGTATTTCTATAGTGCAGCTAAGCACAGAGGTGTTGCCACTGGATCGGTGCTGAGCCCACTGAGATAAGGGGAGTGTGAGATGGCACTGGCTGGGGTAACCATGCAGCCCCATACATGGCAGAAGCACCAGGGTGTAGCTTGAAGCAAAATTAGACCTTGTACACCCAGACAGCACCCAGAGTGCTCTGGGTTTCTCCTATTCCATTCGTGGCAATGGGCTGAGCAAGTAGCCCTGGAGCAGCGGTGTTTGGCAGAATGTGAGAACGTGGCTTAGGGTGGTTTTAGAGCTGCTGGGGGTTAGTGCTCTTTCTATCTTGCAATCTTCCTCCTGGGTACTTAGGGCCTTGTATGGTAAAGCCAGCTGTGCTGCTTTAAAACCACATCCTGCAGGGTAAGTACAGCAATCTGAAGCATGAAACTTGCTGGATGTTTACCTCTTCATGCTGAAACTCAAGGGTTAAACCACCCCCAGGCCCCATCGCTGCTGCTGTTTTCGTTTCTCCAGAGCTGTTGCTCTGAAGGGCTGGGGGATGGACAGGTAGGTACTGGTAGAAATGCTTCTCTTTAATGGAAAGCTGTTCATTTTGACTGAAACGTTTTCATTCGAAGCAGTGGCTTTCTATGAAAATGCATCATTTTGGTTTTAATGTGCTGCCTGCCTCTGTTCCTTTCGTTACAATCCTGGGCAGCAAAACAGAGATAGGCTGTGAACATGAGAGCTGGAAGCCAGTCACTCGGAGAAGGACCTACTCTATGCCCACTGGCTACCCAGGGTGGCACAGGGAGCAAGTGGAGGCACTGGAGCAGAAATGAAATGGGAGGGAAAATCAGAGCATGCAACTGGAGCAGAGAGAGAAGTGTGAGGGAAAAGGAGGCCAGGAACCACGAGTGAGGCTGTAGTCCTTTAATGAGGAGCAAAACTTATCTTGCCAATGTGCTCATCTGTTTCTTTTCCCTGATGTCAAAACAAAGGTGGAAGGAGCACATCAGGGTGGGACAGTGGATGGCAGCAGATGCCTGTCCTGTGTAGCACCTGCCTTATCCCAAAATGCCGAGCTGGACAGAAGCGCTTAGCCCCTTTGCTGCTGTTTTCCAGCCTGGCATCAGTAGGAATTTCAGAAGCCCCTGGATTCCAGGCCTGCATACACTTCCCGCTGGCCTTTCCGGATGGGCTGTGGGAATAGCAGAGATGTTAGTTCGGGGATCCTCATTAACACACCTCAAACAGCACCACAGTTTCACTGGATGATTCTTCAAAGGAGCAAAATTCATAATGCTATGGATTCCCAGCTCTGGTCATCCCTCCCCAGCCAGCAAAGAGAGAGGAAAAAATGGAGGTACTCCATACCTCATAGTCTGGGTTTGGAACAGGGGGAGGACGCTGCATCTTCTGACCTGCAACAAAGGCAAAGGGAGGTCATCCTTGGTGATAATTCATATAACACGGCACAAGGGACTTTGATGGAGATGATCCAAGGGTAATGCATACCATGGGTCAACTCACATGGCTTTATTGTGAGCTTAGAGCTTTTAAAGGGGGCAGGCAAGTGCTTCATTTAGTGCCTAGCAGACATCATGGAGAGCAGACACGCCTGAAATGGCTCTTACCTCGTGGCCGACCACCAGCACTAGTGCTCGCTCTCCCCTTCCTGTCTTTGCTGAAGTAATAGATAAGAGTCAGCACCCCAAAGGTGATGAGAATATCTGCACTGATGATCCCTGTCACTGTCAGGGCATCCAGCTCCGCACACTTTGCGCACACTGCCGGGAGGAGAGATGAAGGTGCTCAGAGATGGGCACTCTTCCATTCCAGCAAGCAAAATCCAGGCCTCGCTCATCTGCTTGGTGCTAGCTCCTAATATCCATCATTGAAACGCATAGACTTTATCTTTAACCCATAGACCATGTGCTTTTTCACTCACCTTTGGCATGCAGGTACATTTCATACTTCTTAGCACTTGATGAACAACTCACGCTGATGGGAGAGCTGTCGTGGTTCTCTATAATGTACTTGTGCGCATCACTGACTCCATTTGTTCCAGGTGACTGCCAGGATATGCTGCCTTCAGTCAAGGGACACGTGATTGTCACCGTGGTTCCAGAAATCTCCACCAGGAATTCTTTATTGGAAGATGGGTCAACGAGAAAAGAAACCAGCATTACAAATGGCTTCTGAGCAGGCTTCTCTGCCCACCCTTGATCCCACCATGACAGTTTGCTCTGCAAAACCTTTGATTTCATGGTGCAGTGTAGATTGCCTCTGTGTGTCTTCTGCACACATTTTCCTTTAGGTTTTTGCACTTGCTCTTTGCAATACTGAGCAGTATCAAAATACCATCCCAGAGTGTTCAGCTTTATGTCAGAGAGTCTGGTCTCCTGCCATTCACTGTTCTGTTTATCCATATGCTTGCTGGTCTTTGCTAGGAGACCACTAACAGTAATCAGAGTAACTCATTATAGCTGATTTTTGTGATTGGTGATGACTGCCTTTCAGTCCTCATCTGTGAGGCATCTGCAGCCTTTAAATAGTGCTAAATAGTTAAGAATGTTGGTTAAAATACGCTTACCCTCCTGTGTTCCAGTATTGTCTGCAAAGGAGAAAATAATGTGTTAACAAATCAGCCTGCCATTACCTTACTGTGTGTTGGTGTTGGAAAATGCCCAACCCTGCTTGGGAATCACTAGCAATAATTAGGGACATTCACAACAGGCAGTTTTTCAAGTCAGTGGGATCAGTAGCAGTTAATGAACAGTGATTTTTTCCTATCTTACAGTATTTGCAAAACTTCAAATATTTCTACTTGATTTTTATTCCTCACTTGTGAGGCATAGTTGGTCTCTTTATCATAAATAGGCAAGAATGCTGGTAAAATACACTTACCCTGCTGAGCTGTGGTGCCAGCTACAAAAAGAAAGAATAATAGGCGTTAAATAGTTTAGCTACTGATATCATGCACCTTTCCTACTTCAAGGATATCCTTTCTGAACTCAGCTGCTTGAAAGAGATGCTTATACTCCTATAATTGTGCTAAAGGCATTAGAAGCATTCTGTTAAGTGAGACAGGATGTTGTTTTGAAATGAAGTCTTTACCTTTGGAGGCCATTTTTAACACAGCCTAACGCAGAATGGAAATCTGAGTAATTTTCTGACCCAGTTTAGAAGCAGGGTTGTTGCAGGCTGTACACCCAACAATTCTGCTTTATCATCATGGACCAAAGAGTGCTGGAAGATCATGCCTGGTCTCTGTAGTAAGAACCACAGATTGGACCCCGATGCTTGATTTAACGCTGTAAAGTAGTTTATCTATGTGATTTTTCTCTCTTGGTGGGAAACAAGTAGCTCCATTGAAATCTCTGGAACTACAGTATTATAGGAACAGTTTTTAAGAGGTGTGATTAAGACTTGGGTTTGCTTTAAAGGCATTTATTGATAGAAATTAACGTAAGTAAAGGAATGACCTGATGCGTGTATTCAGCACTGTTGTCTTATCCCAGGTAATGTTTGCTTTATAATAGGAGTTACTTGTAACAGAACTGTAGATTTAGAATTCCACAGGCATAGGACTTGCCTGGAGAGAAGGTGATGTGATGCTTTTTTCTTTAGATAACATGAATTTAAATTTGATAAAACAACAGGCTTTTGCTAAACTGAATGTTTTCAATCTTCTCAAAGAATAGCAGTTGGTATTTGCAGCACATTAGCAGAACAGCTGTAGTCTTATTGTAGTATCTTTTAATTACCTTTCAAACTTATTTCTCACAGTTACCAGCTTCTTTATAGTCTTTAGAGATACTCTGCACTTCACTCTAATCCAGCTTTCTAAATGCTGGTCAGTTCAAAGTGATAGCATGGACATTGCTACCACTCCCATGATATCACAGGGAATCTGAAGTTATTTACTCATGGTCACAAAATGGTGTAGGAAAAGTGCATGAATATAATGTAAAAATGAAATTCAAACCACAAAACCTTCTAGTTTTCAGGGCAGCCACCCTTCTGTTCCCCATGGGCATTGACCAGCTTGTACTTACCCACACACAGCAGGCATACCCGGA